CAGTGAAGCACCGCTTTTGGGCCCTCAACCGGCCCTAAACCCTAAACCCTAAACCCTAAACCCTTACTGAGGGTTTGTGTGCAATCGTGATGACAGTGGTTTGACCCTTCAGCCGCCTCAAAGTGCTCGCTAGTGCTGCCTCGCTGTCGGCGTCGAGGCAGCTGGAGGCCTCGTCAAGAATCAGCAGCCGCGGCTTGCGCAGCAGCGCCCTGCAGCAGCAGCAGCAGCAGCAGCGCAGCAGCAGCAGCAGCGCAGCAGCAGCAGCGGTGGAGCAACGCAGCAACCAGCTGAACACGTGGAGCTTGCAGCTACGCGGCTAGCAAGCAGCTAGTCACCGGCTAGCTGCCGGCCCGCGCCAGCCATCCTTCGCATAAGGCTGCTGCAGCAGCAAAAGCAGCCTAGCTAGCTGCTTAGCTAGCTGAGCAGCCCTCTAGCTAGCTGTGATAGCTAGCTGGCGGCAACTCTGCCCAGCAGCACCAGGCCGCCATGCTGCGCAGCTAGCTGCGCCCCCGCCAGCTAGCCACTAGTCCTGCTGCGTGGCTAGCTAGCTGCTAGCTAGCTGTCCTTACCGGGCCACCGCAATTCTTTGCTTCTGACCTCCCGAAAGCCGAACTCCGCCTTCGCCGCAGACAGTGAAGACGCCGTCAGCTAGCTGCTTGATGAAGGGCAGCGCGTTTGCTGCTGCTGCTGCAGCAACGACCTGCTGCAGCAAACCCGCAGGCCATGCTGCTGCCTCGGGGTGGCGCAGAGTCCGCGACAGCTCCGCTTCGTACAAGTCCGTCTCCTGCTGCTGCCGTTGCTGGCACTCTTGCTGCTGCTGCTGCTGGCCTTCTCGCTGCTGCTGCTGGCCTTCCTGTTGCTGCTGCTGGCACTCTTGCTGCTGCTGCTTCGTGGCCTGCGTCTCCGGGTCGCTCTTGCCTCGTTTCTGTTGCTGCTGCAGCCTGCTGCTGCTGCTGCACCTCATCCAGTCATCGCTGCTTTGCTGCAGGGGCCGCAGCCCGTAGGCAATGTTATCTGCAATGCTTCTTCTAAACAGCAAAGGCTCTTGTTCCACATAAGACACAGAACGCCGTATTGAGGGCAAGTCCATCTCGCGCAAGTCCACGCCGTCAAGCAGCACCGAGCCGCTCTGCAATACACACACGCAAACGTGCTGCTGCTGCTGCTGCTGCTGCTGCTGCTGCTGGCGCTGGAAGCAGCGGTGCTGCTGCCCAAGTGGTGCACGTGCTAGTTATGATGCAGGTAATGCTGCTGGCAGCGGCTCGCAAGTTGGAGGCTGGTGCTGCTGCGGAAGCTGTTGCGGCTGCTGCGGCTCATGCTGCTGCTGCTTCTGATGCTGCTGCTGCCCATGCTGCTGCTGCTGCTGCTGCTGCTGCTCGTGCTGTTTTTGCTTGACTACCTGCGGGTCATAGAAACGCTGCGCCAGTTTGACAAGAGTCGATTTGCCCGCGCCGGATGGGCCCACAAGAGCCAGCACTTCCCCGCGGGGCACCCGTAGAGAAAGGTTCTTCAGGATCTGCAGCAGCAGCAGCAGCAGCAGCAGCAAGCACAAGGAGCAGCAGCAGCAGCAGGCAGAACGCCTGGTCAGTCTAGCGAATGGTTTGCACTGATCCACGGCAGCGCGCTGCTTCGGTATCTTGCGTTGCAGTGACAGCAGCGGCAGCAGCAACAACGGCAACAGCAGCAGGAAAACAGTGACTGTAGCGGCAGCAGCACAGTCGCCAGCAGCAGCAGCAGCAACAGCAGCAGCAGGCGATGGCGGAGCTCCCCGAACCCTGTGAAATCGTGCAAAGAATACCTGAGGGCCTCCAAGGCTTCCCCCGGCTTCTGCCTTCCCGTCTCCAGTTGCTGCAGCTGCTGCAGCTGTTGCTGCTGCTGAAGTTGGAGCATAAGCGAAGCTAACGTTCCTGAATTCTACAAGTGCGGGGCCCCTGGCCTCCCCTTGCCGGCCCGCTGCCTGCCCTGGGGGCCCCTGTGGGGCCCCCTGGGACTCTGGAGAGGGGCCCCCCGCGGGCTTTTGGGTTTCTTGTTGCAGCTTTTTCGAAACAAGAGTTGGCTTTCTGTCTATGAGATCGAAGTAGCGCTTCGAGGCTGTCAGGGAAAAGCGGGTGTCTTTGTAAATGTCCGTGAGGGCGTCTAATGCCAAATAGAACTTCCGCAAATAGCTGCGGAAAGACATGAAGCGACCAATGGTCAAGTTCCCCTTGACCACTGACCGCATGCCTGAAACCAGCAAGCCCCAACGCACGCACAAAACGCATGCGCTGCAGCCCAAAAGACCCACCAAGCAGCGCCAACTAGGGCCCCCTCCTGAGGCCCCCTTCTGGGGCCCCGGCCTCCTGGAGCCCTCCCCTGGGGCCCCCTGTTGGGGCCCCCTGCTGGGGCCCCCTGCTGGGGCCCTCAGCGAGGAGAGGCCCTCTGTGCAGGGGCACTGGTGTGTGGGGTTTGCGTGAAGCAGCAGTCCCAGCAGCAAAAAGGAGAAGGGGGAGAAGGCGCATGCATGCATGCATCGCATGCATGCATGCATCGCGTGAGCCGACGCTTGCATGCGCGCAGCCCCACCGAAAGCCAAAAGCCCCAAGTCCGTGGTGAGCAGCAGCATTTGCTTCGCCTGTTTGAAGAAAGACTCTGCAATAACTCCCTCCCGCAGCACCCGCAGAGAGGCGTCTTGGCAGGCGCTGTAGCGCTGAAGACAAGCGCATGCAGGAGGCCTCAAAGCGCATGCAAGCCCGGTTGCATGCATGCACTAGACGCAGCACGCATGCATGCAAAAAGGACTGCATGCAGTCGCATGCAAAAAGGACTGCATGCAGTCTCCACAGCGCACGCAACGCATGCAAGATAGAGTTGATGCATGCAGAAACACCGGGGCTGTGCGCGAGGCGCAGCAGCACGCACAGCAGCAAGAGGACAGGCCCCTAAAACGCATGCTTGGCCAGTCAATGCATGCATGCATGCATGCAAAGCCGGGCATTGAGGGTCACCTGCACTTCCATGTCTTCTGCTGCGTTGGCTTTGACGGTCTGGACGTTCGCCAAAACTTCCGTGGCGATGGCCGAAATATCTGCCAAAAGGTCATTTTGCAGCAAACCTGAATTGGCGAAGACAGCAGCAGCAAGGGCCAGGAGCAATTAGGCAAAGCAGCCGACGCTGCCAAGTGCTGCAGCAGCAGCAGCAGCAGCAGCACCAACAGCAGCAGCAGCAGCAGCACCCGCAGCAGCAGCAGCAACACTAGCAGCACCCGCAGCACCAGCACCAGCCCCCGCAGCAGCGCCTGCCGCCGCAACTGCAGCAGCAACTGCAGCATCTGCAGCACCATCATCACTACCAGCAGCAGCTGCAGCAGCAGCAGCAGCAGCAGACCGAGGCTGCCGATGGCGCGTGCTGCGCCGCCAGTGCCCAGCAGCACGCAGGGCACCGCCAGCATCCCCAGCGCAGCCATTTGCGGCGACAAGTAAAACATGAGGGCCCCCCCGACGCTGACGTTGACCACCGCCGCCAGCAGCTTCTGCGCGCCGCTGGTCACCACTTGCTGCGCCGCACGCACCCGCAGCAGCAGCAGCTGCTGCAGCAGCAGCAGCAGTCGCAGCCGCAGTCGCAGCAGCAGCGGCAGCAGCAGTCGCAGCAGCAGCAGTGGCAGCGGTGGCAGCAGCTGCGAAAGCAGCAGCTGCAGCAACCGCAGATGCTGCTGCAGCAACTGCAGCAGCAGCAGCAGACCAGCAGCAGCAGCAACAACGGCAGCGGGGGCGGGGCTCGGCAGCAAGAGGCAGCCGCGGCTGCGGCGGCAGCAGCAGCTGCTGCTGTTGCTGCTGCGCTTGAGCTGCAAGTGCTTGCCTGCATGTCTTCCGTGTCATTCAAGATCCGACTCGCCAAAGTCCCTGTGCTGTTGGAGTCGAAGAAAGCTGCTTCTTGTCTGCAGCAAAAAGTTCAGGTGTACAGACACCGCAGGTGCCCAGACACCGCAGCTCTGCAGCGCCTCGGGCGCGCAGCAGACCAGGTGTACAGACACCCGTGCAGCCAACTCAGGGGTCAATCCGCCTCCAAACCCTAAACCCTAAACCCTAAACCCTAAACCCTAAACCCTAAACCCTTACCTCAGCAAAGTCGCAAAAAGCCGTTTCTGCATCTCCACCACCAAATGCCAACGCGCACACGTAAACAGTGCGTCCTGCGCACCCACCACAAACCCCAAACCCTAAACCCTAAACCCTAAACCCTAAACCCTTAGGCCCCAAATTGGAGACTAAAAGTGGCAAAAGACACATGAAGAGACACAAAGTCATGGCTGCAAGCAGCAGGAGTACTCAGGCGCCGAGAGGGCTGACAAAAAAGAACGAAAGAGAGAGACAAAAGCCGCGCACAGCAGCAGCCCAACAGCAGCAGCAGCAGCATCAGCAGAAGCAGCAGCAGCAGCAAAGCAGCTGCTGCCGCGGCAGCGAGACGCAGGCAGGCACGTGCTGCGCAGAAGAGACTACCGCCGTTGCCAGCAGCAGCAGCAGCAGCAGCAGCAGCAGCAGCAGACCCTCGTTACGGAGCTCAAGGCCTCCACTGCTGCTGCTGCTGCCGTCCGCAGCACCAGCGGCAGCAAAGCGCCACTGCGTGGACCCGAAGGGGCCCCTAGGGGGGCCCCCCCCTCCATAAGGAGAAGGTCAGAGGCCCCCTGAAGAGGGGGCCCCCCATCTGCTGTACCCTCTTTGCAAGCAAGAGCAGCAGCACAGTCAAAGACACGGCCCAGCAAGTAGGAGCGGGCAAAGGAAGCAGCAGCAGCAACAAGAGACAGAGCAGCAGCAGGAGCCAACAGCTGCAGCGACAACGTAGACCTCAGCTCCTTCAGCAGCCTGCAGCGCAAGCAGCAGCAGCAGCAGCAGCAGCAGCAGCAGACGCACAAGCAGCAGCAGCGACAAACGCAGCACCTCAGACATCAGCAGCATCAACAGCCCCAGCAGCAGCAAAGAGCAGCAGCTGCTGCTGCTGCAGCAGCCGCTCAGGCGAGGCTCTACGGAGACGGCAGAGAAGCATTTGCTGACGCCCCCAGCAGCAGCAGCAGCAGCAGCAGCAGCAACATGCCTCGTTAGTCCTATTGCGTCTCTTTTTTCTGCTCCTGCAGAGCCAGCGCGGGGCAGCCGACACAAAGCGCCCCACACAAGACGGGGCCCCTTCAGGACCTTTTCAGCAGCAGCAGACAAGGGGGGCCCCCAGCAGCTGAGGGCTCGCCTTGCTGCTGCTGCTGCTGCTGCAGCAACTCCCTTAGCGGATCCTCGTTCTGCGCTCGTTGCTGCTGCTGCTGCTGCTGTTGCTGCTGCTGCTGCAGGGCCAGCCCACAGCCTCCCACAGCCAAGATCGCGGCGAGAGAGCCCCGGGCCCTTCTGCTGCCAAACTGCAGCAGCTTGGCTGCTGCCAAGTAGCTGTGGCTGCGCAGAAGCAGTTTGTGCCCACTGGTGGGCCCTGCGAGCAGCAAATACCGTGGGGGGGCCCCCAACGGGGGGCCCCCCTAGGGTGCACCGTGGGGCCCCCAGAGCACTCTCTGGGGAGCTTAGGGGGGACTTGGCAATAAAGCCACAGCCTCTAAATGCAGCACCGTGACCTGGGCTTGCTAGTAATGGGTGGTAAGCACGAAAAGAGAAGGGGGCCCCAGGGGGGCCCCCATGGGGGGCCCCGCCTGCGCTCGCTGCCGGCCGTGTGTCTCGGTGCAGAATGAGACCTTTGGAAGCAACTAATGCTACAAAGTGGAATACAATGAGAAAACAAAATGGAAGGGGGAAACAAAAAGACAAACGGGGGGCCTTCCAAGGCATCTTCGTTGGGGGCCCCCCTAAAGCCAGTCGGCCTCGGACGGCCGTAGACGACTCTGAGGGCGCCTGTAGCAGCCCCGCGTGTCCTTGCAATGGAAAGAGCACTGCATGCTTCAAATAAAAGAGAAAAAACATCAAGAGAGAGAGGCGAAGACTTATAGAGAAACACTCGAGGTACCCCGGCAGGCCCCACCGCAAGGGCGGGGCAGCCGTGACTGCACAGGCAAGGAGCCGCTAAAGGGAGAAAAAAGGCAATTAAACAGCTACAAGAATGAGTGAAATGCTTTATTTGATTCATTACTTTTATTCTTGACACAAGTTAATGGCGAACTCAGTAAACAAACAGGTTGCTGCCAGAGCAGCCTCTGTCTCGGGGTGTCGGCCACAGCTCAACGCGCCTACTGCTCTCCTATATCTTGTGAAACGCTGCTTTGTGAATTATTTCAAACCATTTAACAACATTCTAGTAGTGTTTTTGATTCTTTATCTGGTGCGTACACTCTAGTTTTGGGCCTTGGCCTGGTGCCGACTGCAATCGGGCGCAGGAGCCGTACAACACAGCTAGTAGCGCTTGAGAGGACAAGGACTGGGACTTTCTCTTCCTAATTTTCAATTGTAGTTTTTAATTGTCCATCTGAATATTCGAGGAGATTCACTTTTGTTTTCCAGTCTAGTCTTTCAGTCCGGTGTCTTGCTCCCCTTCCCAAAACACTCGAGACATCGCTTGTAGCCTCGCCTTTTTCCTACTGTCCCGCCCCATCAAGTGCTTCCGCAGCTGTTTCTCAAAATTGAAATCTTGAACTTATGCAGTCCATTATATCATTCTCTCACGCTTTTCTGACCCCTACTGCCGCTGTATGGTATCAAAAATATGCCACAGCACATGCATAAACCAATTGAACAAGGAGTCGCACAAGCAAGAAAAAGGTGATACGTACAACAATAGGTATCGTTATTAATAATTGCAAAAGCCTCTCATTTTTGCTCAGTGGAAAGGAGGTACACGAGGGCGGCTTTGCTGCGAGCTTAGGGAGGGCACACAGGGAGGTAGCTGTGACCCATATTAGTGCAGAAGAAAGACGCTACATTCTTTATTTAAAAACTTTTGCGAGAGTACTCCGTTGACACTGACTGTGAAAGGCGCGGTGGAATCCTCACTTCCCAGATGACCGTGCAGCCCTACATAACTGATTCGAAGCGTTCGAATCTGGTTTAAAGCAGTTTCCTTGTTCTATAGATATGCCCCGTTTGTCTCGTTTTTGGGCTCATAATTTTATATTCAGCCTCCATGCAGGCGACAGTTATGCTGTGTCCTCTGCAAGCATAATAACTACCTGTTTTTACACTGCCCAGCTACAGTAGAGACTTTGCTACCGCTGTAATCACAGGGACTAGCAGCAATCCGTAAGAACCCTCAGTTGAGATAAGCAATTGGGGTACACATGCAGCAGCAACGTCCTTCAACAGATTAGCATATTCACTTGAGGCTGCATGCAGCTAATTGGAGCTCGCCTCAACTAAACTTCTACCAGCACTAACAAGCTGTCTGCCATTAACGGCACCTTATGAAGATATCAGCAGCTAAATGCAACTATTTGGGCAGTATTGGGAGCAACTTAAATAGTTGGTGTGGGTGTGCCGACTTATGAAGGGCAGCTTTTTGCACAGAACCCCAACCGTCATCACTATAGAAACGTCAGACACACAGTGCGTCCGGCTAAAGGCTCAGTCGTCTCTTTAAGTGGAGTACCGCTGCCTTCAGGACCTCGGTAGTGACCACACTTGACCACGAGAGCTAGCCACAGCACTGGCTGTCCTAGCATTTAAGTAATAGTAGCCCGCGGAAGCACGCGTTATATTGTGTTATGTACATATTATAGCTATTCCCTGCCTTTGTAAGCCCCGAGGGGGCCCAGTAGCCAGTAGTTCTGTTCTGCGGGCAGAATTGTCTACGTGGGTCCTGGTAATTCAGCTCAGCAAGCGACTGATATCCTGCCGAGCCGCAACGCGTTGTGTTCATCTAGCCTCTGCTGGTTATAATTATTCCAATACTACCTACGCCAAACCATATTCAGCTTATATGGCGTGGAGCTCTGCGTCCTCATGGCTTGTCGACGCTAGAATGACTTGTAACTGTTCTATGCCATTCTTCAAACGCAGATGCAGTTCATCTCGCTGCCGCTGCCACTCCCGCTGCTGCCGCTGCAATTTTGCTGCTGCCATACGCCCCTCTGCCTGGGCCCGCTGGCACTCAGCCTGGGTGCGCTGCAGCCACATCAACACCAGAAGCAGCGGCAGACGCGCCATCAGCTTTAGCGCCAGCAGTAGGTGCAGTGGTACTTGTCAAGATTGCAGGGGAAGCAACAGAGAAAGAAACAGCGAAAGTGCCAGGGTGGTCTTTGCACCGTAGAATTTTAGGTGAGGCGAACTACATTAAATTTTAGAGTTTCGAGTTAAGTCTTCAAAGTATTAGTCAGCACCCTAAGCTCGTCCTTAAGTTGCTCCTGCACTTCTTTGAGAGCTCTTATATTGGCCTCATTTTTCAACGCCTCTGCTTGTGCTGATTTGAGTTGTTGTTCTTGCTCCTCTATTTGTTGCTTGTGCTGCTGCAGTTGTAGCTGCTGCTCGGCTGCCGTAGCCTCTGCCACTGCTGCGACTGATTTAAGGTTCTCTTTTGTCGTCGTGTGGCTCTGCTGTTCCTCTGTGAGCTTCTGCTGCAGTTGTTCTAGCGCTCTCTGCAGCAGCAGCAACAGAAACATTCTACAGGTCCTCTCACCGATTCGTTCAAGTGATTGACGTTTGAACCTGAGATTTGGTGATAGATTCATCATGCTTACACTTCATGGCTCCTAATTTACGGTTCAGGGCTTAGCGCGTATGGGGACAAATGTAGCACCTGGCGAGAATTGAGAATTGTGCGCTGTCTTTGCTGCTCCGCGTCTGCTGCAGCAGCCCTTGCTGCTAATTGCCTATGCTTAGCCCGTAGCTCTTCGGCAGCTGTGGCTGCTGCTGCAGCTTCTTGTTGCAACTCAGCCACTTGCTGCTCCAGCTGTTGTTGCTGTTGTTGTTGCAGTTCCTCCGTCTCTCGCCGCTCTTGTAGCCTTTGCTTCAGTTCCTCTACCCTAAGTGCACCCCGGCCAAGACCCTAAGTCTTAACCCTAAAGGAAAGGAGGCCAAATCCTTACGTATGAGCCTTAGAGCCTCCATTGTAAATCCTAAATCGTCTAGAATAAACTCTGAAGCCTGAGCTACAGACTCCCATTGCTGTACCCTCTAGCGTAAAAGCCCCTCAGAGCATCAACTCTAATGGCCGGATCTACATGCCTATCCGTAGGCATTAAGCGTTTAACGTTATTCCATAATTACTTTTGCTGAGTGCGCTTCAGGTCGGCAGCTATGCTCTGTCTTTCTTCGAGAGCTTCTTTTTCGCTCTGATGGTGGCGCTGTGTTTCTTGCTGGAGCTCTTGCTGCAGCTCAAGAATTCTGTGTTGCTGCTGCTGCAACTGCTGCTGCTGCTGTTGTTGCTGTTGGAGCGTTCCATCCTGCTGCTGCATGAGCTTATCTTTCTCTTCCAAAAGTTGCTTTTGCAGCAGTTGCTGCTGCTGCTGCAGCCGATCAACTTCTTGCTGCAGCAGTTGCTGTCGCCTCTCTGCTGTGCTTTGCTGCTGCTCAAGTTCTGCCTGCGCGCGCGCTGTGTCTTGTTGCTGCTGTTGCAGTAGGAGCTCCGCCTGTTGCAGTTGCAGGTCGCGCTGCTGCAGCCATCAGGGCACGTAATAAACAGCGAATCAGCGGGCAGCATTGAATCCTTAAGATCCAAGGCCAAAATCAAAATTAAGGCATAGGGGCTACAGTTTGGGGTCCAAAAGCAAGAGTCTATGGGTTATGCCTTAGAATCTAGGGGCGGTACTGTGGCAACTGAGAATCAGAAACAATCTATGCAGTCAACAAAGGTGTACGCTGCCTCTGTAGCTTGATAACTGAGGCAGTCGACTGCCGAGCTTGCTGGATAGCTGGCTGACTTGAAGGTCGCTGAGGAGTTTCTCATTGGCGTCCTGTTTGTCGTCCAGCTGCCTCTGAAGCATGCTTTGCTGCTGTTGCTGTTGCTGCTGCTGCTGCTGCTGCTGCTGTATTTGCAGCTTCTGCTGCTGCACCAGAAGTTGAGCTTCGCACAGTTCTCTGTACCTCTGCTCCAAACTGCCCTGCCACATCCAAACCCGGACAGCTCTACAAATATCTAAGCGGTCTATTGTCATCAGTGTAATCTATAGGCAGCTGGCTTGGCAGCGTGGCAGCGTTGCCGTATGTTTGCCTAGGCAGCTAGCTAGATGAGCAGCTGCATTCGTGTAACGAACTTTTAAGTGGGCATTCTCCTTGAGGAGCTCTCGGCGTTCATCTTGCATTAAGTTTGCTGAGGTAAGGCAGAAAAACAGATAAGCAGTTCTTCGTCTTAAGGCTCTCCCGAGCTACAGGCCTCAAGTCCTAAGCCCCAAGCTTTTAACCATACACCCTTGCTGACACTTGACCGTGGCGCTTTGTAGCTCGCAAAGCTTTTGCTTTAATAGTAAGTTTTCTCGTTTCGTCTCATTGTGTCTCTGAGCCGACGACGTAAGATCTGATTCCAGACGACGCAGCAACCGAGCGCTTTGCTGCAACAGCGACGGCAGCATAGTATTTGAGGAGCAACAACAGCAGCAACAACAGCATTCTTACTTCAAGATGGACTTAAAGAACTCCGATTAGCGCGTACGTTTCGTTGTATACACTTCAGGGGTTGTTTTCGGCTTTTGCCTTTGTGCTGTAGGTAGTTAAGGTCACCTGCTCAGTGCTCCTTAGCTCGGCCTCCATTTTCTTGATGTAGTTATCTGTTTGCTGCTGCTGCTGCTGCTGCTGCTGTTTCATTTCTTGATCCTGCATGTGATTTACAGTGCGCTGGTGTCCCCGGCTAGGCGGCTGATGCTGCTGTGGCGGCATCGAGTGCAGCTGCAGCAGCTTGTTGTTGTCGGCGCAGCAGTTTGATATTTGACGGAGCGTCGAGGGCCTGGCCCCATTGCCTGCAGGTTGACCCATGCTACAAGACGTGTATGAAAAATCATGCGTACACACATTATGAATGCATGTATGAACATTTGTACACAGATATAAACGGATATATGAAACTGCTTAACTACGCTGCTTCCTCTTGATACTCATATCTCCACATGCGTAGCTGTGGGCCAAAACCCATATGCCTGCCAATGCTCGTAAAGGTCACGTATATACTTCAATCTGCATATGTGTTTTCATCTTTTTGGTTAGAACTATGAAAAATGTATGAAATTTACATCTGCGAGTTGTACATTAGCTCCACAAACTCTCATGGCCGTTGACCAGAATCACTGTCTATGCCCGCTGGATCGCAAATCAGTGCAGCTTATTCGGTTTATTTGGGAGTTTCGTTTGTTTCCTGTCTCGCGAACGCAGACTAGCCGAAGAGATGATATCATAATATTGCCTTATTTTTTCTTTTGCCCACCCGCAAGGTCTAGAACGGTAATCCATCTGTTTGGCCTCAGCGCCATGGCCAGCTGCGCACTGCCTTCCTCCCCTAGTGAGTTGTTTCGTAAATGTATCTCCTTTAGGTTCCGACTGTGCAAACGCCTCCAAATTCCTGGGAAGCATTGCCGTCTGAAAGCTGAATTTTACACTCTACGGATCAAAGTCCTTGCCCCTGGCGGGGTGGTTAGCGTACGCACCTGTTTCTGAGGATCAACTCGCTGAGGGCGTCAGCAGCGGCGCTGCCCAGCTGGCAGTGTATAAGTGACAACAGTTGTAGAGACTCTAGTCCCCGTATGCTCTCGCACAGCAAAGGCACGGACCCAGACCCACTGCAGTCATCCCCTGCAGCAACAACAAGAGCAGCGGCACCAGACGCCGGCACTGGCAGCAAGCATGTTAAAAAGTATTGTTGTTTCTCGTAGAGCCACCACATCTATATGTTAATACTTTTATCTGATACAGTACGTGCCTCGCTACGTTTACGTCTCGTGTTTCAAGTCCCACGACTTAGAAGCGTACCGGAGCCAATCGGGTTCCAGTCAAGCCTGAGTTGCCTCAGCTGCCTGAGATGGCAAATAGCTGGAGCTAGAAGTTTGAACCCTTTTTCCGATATATTATTACCCTATATGTAAGGCGAAAGGATACAGAACGTGGGACAAGGCCTACAGCAGAGGAAAGTGCCGTATTTTACTGCTTGCATAACTACATATTTGCAGCCCACATGCGTTGTATATGTATATTTTCGCAGATATATATATATATGTAGATTGTAACATATGCCAACGAGTGTTCTTCTCCTCAGCGGTCAACGGGCAAGATTGCGTCTCATCACAGCTCCTAGTTTGTAGGAAGTTACATTGACTGCTACCACAAGTGTTTCCAGTAGCACTAGCGACTGTTTTCGTTAAAGTATAAAGTATCATCATTCTTACTATCACCAGTCAACGTCTAAAGTATTTTATGTTGCATAAACATTAGCTACTCTTACTACCGCTATCTATCCTAGTCCCTCTAAAACGTATTTCCTCGACAAGAAGATGTTTTTGAAGCTTCGTGCTGCGCATTGGAGCGTACGTACAGCTAAGTCAAGAACATGAATCGAAGTCCATTTAAGGAGACGGCTGGCGATGGCACTGCAGGCTCCATCGCCGAGACACTTTTCAGCGAGGAGCAACTCCGAAAGAGGACTCTCGCCCAGCCCGCGAAGCAGCTCATCCACCTGCAGCAGCAAAGATCCAGCGCATCTGGAAGCAGCAGAAGCAGCAGCTGTCGCATCAGCTCTGCTGGCGGTGGCTTTGTTCTCGGTGCCACCGTAGCCGCTGCTGTTGCTCAATTGCCGCTGCAGCACTCCTGAATTGCTAGAAAGATTGTTTTCCGCTGAAACCTGCAGATCTGAGTCTTGACGGTTCGTAGGCTTCGAAAGGGTTCTCCCGAGCGGGTACCCAGAAGCACATCCTGGGGTGTCTAGCATTTCGTAACCAGACATCCCTTGCGAAATTGAATCCACGTGGCTTCGTAGTCTCGTCTGCCCTACTTTAATAGAGCCGCTTGGCAAGACCAATAACGGAACCACCACCAACACCAAGAGTAACTCTATGCTTGTAAGAACCTAGTTATCCACTTGGCCTCAATGTGGTTACCTCTCAAAAAAAGGGAAGAGGAAAGAACAAAACTATGCTTCTTCTGTTTTTTTCCCTGGCACGCATTTATAGGTTTTAAAAATATGCTTGCCTTACCAATTCACTAACTCACAGACACATGGCAAAGGGATCTCTGCGAGCAATTTCTGGAGCTTTGGCCATCCAGACAAAACAGATTACAAGCCTTCGGCACTAAATATTGCCTTCAAGTCAAATAACTTGAATCAGATTAATTTGTAGTTACATGTAGCATGCTGCTGCGCTAGGCGAACAGAAGACACAAAGATATAGGCCACTTCATGCTTGATGCATCCAAAAATTAATTGGGGCTTTGCATGCAACCACACCCAGGCTCTCTCGGCATCGGCTACATTAAATACTGATCATTCCTCAGGTCAAGATCAATCCCTTATCGTTCTAGTCCATTAGGAGCCCGTAATGAATACAGAGGGGAGAATTTCGTGGTGTAGAAAACTTATGCTGTTCCACCTGTGACCTGTGTTTCCCTATAACAGCACCTCCTTGAATTGAATTGCTTCTCCTACTGGACAGCGAAGCTCACAAGAAACGCAGAGAGTAATGATGTGCAGGGAAACTGTTAGACGCTGCTCGCCAGATGCAGGCAAACTCCAAAAGCCAATAGAAACAATGAAGGATCCACAGATCCACATAACAGGAAGGCGAATAATGGAACCACGCATTGTACACTGCAGTTCTCAATGGCTGCCACTACCAATAAAAGAGCCAGAGCTGCGGTGTGCACAACCTAGGTCTGGTTTTCTTTGTGTGAGCAGCGCACAGCCCCATTTCCGTAAGAAAACGAGCCTTGAAGCCGGCCAGAGGGGTTAAGAAAAGACTTCTGAGCCGATTCTTAGCTTGCTACCATGTGGTGGCACTTCGAACAGCAGAACATCTACTCCTGGTGTTCCCTCGCATGCATTTTAGCGTGGACTGTCCACCAACTGTAGACCAAATAAAGGGAAAGCGACGCATCACCGCTAAAATCAGCACAGTGCTACGTTAAGTCTGCCCTATCATTCTTGTGAGCCCGTGGCCTAGTAGGGAACCAGTCCTTCACTTCTACAGGTTTTGGGGCCTCCATCCCCTGTTGCAAATATTGGTTGCAACTCCTTCATTACAGGGGATTCTGTGAGTTACGAATCTCCGAAATAAGCCACACGCTCATCACAGAAAAAGTATTTTGCGCCATTCGGCATAGTGGTTTCATGATCATACTAAACACTGTCCTACAAGCAAATAACACAAAAAGAGGTCTTGCCAGCAGCGACGAAATGTGGGGAAAGTGACCAGGTCGCACACCAACCTTTGCCCTGAATGGTGCGCATCTTAAAAGACATCTTAAATACCGTATTCTTCTAATTATACTTGCACTTTTTCTCTGAGATATGCTAGCACTGGCTATGAATGTGGTCACGGTTTTCCTTTAAAGTCAAAATTATCATTCCGCTTTTTGGTGCTCCTGCGCTCACAAAAGCTGCACCCTTATACATCAACACTTCACAGATCTGGAAGGCCCTGCACAGACGAGCAAGAAAAGATCAACTTTGAACAGTTAATTGGACTGTTTTGTGCCTTCGCTCTTCGGTTTGGTTGCTTATGTCATGCGTACATTGCGAGAACGGCACAATCCTAGACATCCCTCCTTCTAGAGACAAAGCATGCGCTCCCTTGGTTACTATAGTGCGTCTTCTGCGTTTGCACCTCATAAGGCAACTACTGCGGTGGAAGTATCTGCCTCCTGGTGAGTATTTGCGACAAATTGTGAGCGAGCATGGCCCACTCTGGTATGTTCCAGTATGTCAGGAAGATTTAGTCCTAGGAGGGTTTCAAAGCCGCATGTGAGCTGAATAATTCAGAGCAGCAAATAATTAGAGCAGCAACAAATCTTTTTTCCTCAGTGAATTCCACAATATTCGGGGCAACAGAAAACTCGTAATGGAAGATGATGTCGATCCCTCCTCGATGCAGGGGCCATGCCGGCTGCAAGCAAACAACTTCTTTGGCACACTCAC